GTACAGCGCTATCTGAGCTACATAATCTGCTCACCAGATACGGCCAGGCTCCACAACCAGACATTCAAATGTGTTAAAAGATCTTACAGGATGGCTGCAAAATTACTTCCTGAGTGTCACACATTGGATGGTTTCCGCACCTAGGCCCACACACGCGCACTTCCTTTGAGGCAACATGTTATGATGGGAAACAGAGGATTTCCTTTGTTGTGAATCAGCCCAACATGCTACTTTTTAGATTGAAAGTGCTTATCTGAAAACAAATAGGAAAACTTGTATTTCCTGTTTTGTGAAGAAACAACACTCGCTCAGCAGGTTACACTTAAAAACAACAGAGGGAGAATTAAAGCCTTTCACCCAAAATCCATCCTATTATACAGAAACCTGCAACAGAAGAGAATAAAATTACACAGAAATCATTAGTGATGTATCCAAAATGGAAACATTTGTGTGAAAATGCTCTAGCGGCCACACAATTAAAGCTGCAATCAACACCTCCAAAACTTCTCTCTGCTCTGACAGTTTTAGGCTGGAATTCATTTCAAAGTCAAGACCTGGCTATTTGGGCACACTTTCCCTCCTGCTGTATCTTAAATTCACATTTTACCATCTTGGATTTATAGTGCATGTGTATTGGTTTAACTGTTTTTAAATTTGTAAAGCCGCCCAGAACACCATTTTAAGATCTAGATCGGCGGGGTCTAGATGGGCGAGGTAGAAATCCAATAAAATAAATAAATAAATACATTTCAGCTATGGATGAAAAAAATAGGGTTCATGAGGCAGAGGAAAGGACCCACACTGTTGGTATCGCAGAATCAGAATACAAACTGATTATTTTACTGTAACAGCCAAAGACATACTAAATTAAAAACAACAACCACCAAACTTGCCATTACTATGTTTTGTTCTCCGTGTTCTAACACAAGGGGAAAAACAAGTGAGTATCAAGAGGCTGAATACAGTATTCTTAAATTATATTGGCCACATTAAAACACAACACTAAAAAAAGGAACCACACTGTGGCTGAATGCAACCATTTTAAGTGAGCACAGCGCTGCTAAGCTTGTGCACGTTTAAAGGCACAAAATATAAATAGAACAATGAAAACAAAACAAAGGCATGTAATTCCCTCTTACAGGTCATCCTAGCCCTCCTATGTGTTACTGAAAGTATTTCTCGCAGCTCAGTGCTCCTGCAGGACCTCCATTGCCTCCCACACTGGTATCAACTATCCCTCAATATTCAAACTGCTAGATTCTATTTATGAAAACCAGTTCAGCTTTCCACGGTCAGCACAATGAACCCTGTACATAAAATCAATCTGGTCCTTTCTCTGATTTTCAGATCATGAGTTCTGACCTAACATGCAGTCTTTGTCTAGAGGTAAGAAACAACCATTAGAAACAATGCAATAAAAACCATGAAACTAATAGGGCAGTTTTGCCAGGGAATTTTTTTTGTCAATTAATAATAATGCTTTTAATCTATCTATTTGTATAAATCTGTACATAAATAAAGGTTCTGAAGGGGGGGAACTACTTTATTCTTAGATAATCCATAAAACATTGCAACAGATTTGAGAACATTTGTATCCATTTAAGAAAATACCTGTCATCATCTTTGTAAGTACAGTGGTGCCTCGCATTGCGATGTTAATTCGTTCCGCAAAAATCGCTGTTGAACAAAAATGTCGTTATGCGATATTAAAAAGCCCATAGAAACACACTGAAACCTGATGAATGCGTTCCTAGGGGCTTAAAATTCACCGTTCAGCAAAGATCCTCCATAGTGCGGCCATTTTCGGTGCCTTTTAAGTGAGGAATCCGTCCCAGAAAACAGCGGGCGGCCATTCTGTTTACCCGGCAGCCATTTTGAAATCGCCAATCAACTGTGTGAAAATGGTTGCTTTGCAATGATCGGTTCCCGAAGCAGGGAACCGATCATTGCAAAGCGAAATTCCCCCATAGGGAACATCGCAAAGCGGTCGCTTTTGCAATCGCAAAAAGTTCGCCGCAAAGTGATTTCGTCGCTAAACGGAGCGCTCGCTAAGCGAGGTACCACTGTATTCTTGTTAACAATACTTTTTAAAAATCAGTTAGTTGAACGAAGTAAATCTAAAAACTTCATTGGGTTAACTGACTAAACCTGGCAGGCCTATCGACACATCGAATGAGAAACCGCCAGGATAAAGATCATGATGAAATAAAAAGATCTTGCATTTCTTTCCGAAATCTTAAAAGCTTTACAGAGATCTCAATTCCCACCCCTGCAAAGAGCCAATGAGATGGTTTCCTGGTAAGCTTCTTCAGACACTATGGGGAGAGGTCACCACCACCAAGATGCTGATTTTTCCATGGGGAGGAACCACAGGAGGCCTGGCAGGTATAAGGGAAGGAAACTGAGCAGGGTCTTGTACGCTGCTCCGAATGCTCCAGAAAACGAAGGAACACCTCAAAACAGAGGTGCTAAAAAGAAAAGTGGCTCATCAAACCCATGCTCCCCACAAATTACAGTTTCAATTTTAAATTAAGACAACCATCTCAATCCACTGTGTGCATTTCCTCTCCCACGTCTCATTGGCGGGAGACACAACTAGCAAGCTGGGGATCTGCACGTTTATTTTGCACGCAGGATTTCCCCACTTTGTGAGTCTGTACCAGAAAGGCCCACCCTTGATCTCCCGGTCCTACAATTATTTCAGTCGTCAGGCAGTGACACAGCAGGCTACGCAACAGCAGACGCTGCAGTCACCTAGAGGTGCTGGAGGAAGGAGAACACCATTTTAAGGACCCCTCAATATGATTTGAAAGCTTGAGGGTAAGTGCTACGAGAGTCTGTGTTTCTAATCATTCGCTGATATATGACACAGAATGCAAGAAGGCACGACTTCACCGCAGGCCTGGGCAAACACAGCCCATCATCCCATCCCACTGGCTATGCTGGTGGGAGGTCATGGGAGGTCTGGAGTCTCTCACCTCAGTTTACACAGCGATACCAGATTAAACTACAATTAAAAAGCAGACAGTCAGCATAAACTCTCTGCAGGTAAGGACTTTTCCTAAGGTATTAACACAGCAAGAGCCATTTGCATGCCAAGCTTTGCTTCCTGGTTTTTAATTCCAGCCATGCAAATAAAAGTGGGGGAATTTCTCTTTCTCTGGCATTTTCTTCACTCTAGCATACCAGTGTGCGTGCTTTCAACATTGGGTACACTGCATGCATACTTTCCATAAGAGACAAATAAATCTTGTATTCTTTCTCTCGCTGGTATATGGGATAGAGAACAGTCACTTGTTCTGATGTCCTAATCTGAAAATGACAAAGCTGGGAAAGCTAAGCCCTGAAAGCATGCCTGTCGGGTGAATCCGCGCAAACTGATTTTTATCATGTGAGTGCAGTCATCAGGAGATTTCACAACTATGTTTTTCCTCATAATTGAGGAACAAATGGACGAGCAACACCAAAATTCTGTCCAAACTTTCTGGCAGAGTTTCAGTATCTGAAACACAGCATCTGAAACCAAAATATATCCACAATAATTCAGCAACAAGTGCACCTTCTTTTTCCATGTATGTTAATTTGCACCTTCTCTTTTAAACCAACACTGAATTTTTTTTCTACTTTGCTCTGGCATATAATGGAAAGAAAGTCTCTTTACAACATTTATTAGGGCCCACCAAAATGCCACAAAAGCATGATTCCCAGCCTTGGGTAACTCAGGTGTTCTTGGACTGCAACTCTCAGAAACCACAGCCAGCACAGCTAGTGGTGAAGGCTTCTGGGAGTTGCAGTCAAAGAACATCTGGGGACCCAATGTTGGGAAGCACTGCTTTAAAGACATGACCACTATTTGTATAACTAATTCAGCATGCTGAATTGGATCTGTGATTGATTCTCCAACAAGACCCAACTCAAGCTACATTATAAACTACTTTTGAAATGAAGGGAGCTTTCAGAAGTAATCTGTGATATGGGGAATACACTGTTGAAAGCAATCTTAGGCATCATGAAGCCCTAGTGTGTGTCTAAGGCAGGTTAGTTTATTACTGAATTATTCCTTTAATTATCAGGGCAAATTATTTAGTTATTAAATTAAGATATTCTAATAGGTTGAAGGTTAGGTTAAATTATTCTAACATGTTCTAACAATTCTTAAATGGCCTAGAATTAAGCAGCAAGACTGTCACCGTATAACATTCAGACTACATTTCTCCAGGTCTACGTCCAGCTGCATTCATTGTAATTATGGGAACATTCCAAAAAGGTGATATTGGAAGCCCTGAATCTTTTAAACCTTTGAGGCCCCAAACAGTCTGGAACCACGGTTTCAAAGGGAAAGCTTTCTACACACTAAAGTGCAACAGGTGAGATGTGAGAGGGTTTTTTTAAAACAGTAGTTGCACATTTTTCAAACTGCCTCCTGTTCCATTCCTGTTTTTCATTAACCATAGTTTAGAATTACATCTGAATTTTAAACTGATTAATGACTTGCTGAAACAAGCAGCTTCATAATCTATGGTTTGAAGTTTACTCATCTAAAACAAGCCATGATTAAGGTTAACCCCAATTTTGTGGATTAGGACAAAATGGCAAATTGTGGTTACTGAAAAAACAGAAACAAAACCTTTCGATCTGTAGCCACACTAGGAGAAGGAGACAGAATGCCTAATATCCTGAGGCTTTTTGTGGCTGAATCCCTTCATTATGTGACTCATTCTGACAATGCTGAGTGGCTATGCTGGCTTGGCCCCTGTGGTAAACTCTAACAGTAGGAGTCCAAGAAAATAACTTTCTCCAGCCCTAGATTGCTCTGAAGACTGGATGCAACACTAAATATATCAGTTTTAGCATATGTTTTGACCCACAGGTTGAAACATGTATCTAATTACAAGAATTTAAGATTGATTTTAGAAACAAAACGCACAGGGTTATTTTTTTAGTTTCCAGATACCAGAATAAGAATAATATAGGCCACTAACAATGTTTGTTTTACTCACTGGGATGTAGTAGATGCTCATTTTCGGGGCTTCATTGGCTGTGAACAGCATTCCTGGGGGGGGGGATGAGATAGTTGAGAAAAAATGATTTTGAGAAAAAGTGATTTCCTGATTTTTTTTGAGAAAAATGTTTTGTTTTGTTTTGCTTTTGTGCTTACCTTCCATGAGTTTGATTCAAACTAGGCTCTTGGTGAGCAAACTATTAACCAGTGCTTCATAAATTCAAGCACCATTACTAAACAGAGACTGAAGAACTCAACCAATTTAGCAGTTTCTGCTCCATCCAAAAATAATATATTTTTTAAAAATATCTTTTTAATCCCCAGGGTTATTCTTTTATCACTCCTTGCTAATGACATATACATCTTCACCTTATCAAACACACATGTGGTTTAATTTCAAAAGCAACATTTCAAATCAATGATCAGTGCAATAAAAATAGCTGAGAAACGAGGAACTACTTTTTGTTCTTTTAAAAAAGTGAGTGCAATCCCTCTCTTCTGGACATTAATAGCCAAATTATCATTAATTTTAATGGAGCAAAAATTTGAATCCTTAAAATTTTCTGCTGTGAGTTTAATTATCAATGAACCCAAATATTCTACCCTCAATATTAGAGTAAAAACCAAATCTTAAGAACTCAGAAACTGGGACCATATCCTCTCTTCTCAATGTTTTCATGTGTTTGTGACTTCTAATGTGCATAATGGGGGAAGATCAACAAGGAAAGAAACATGAATCTAAAAGTGTGTTCTAACAGGTGCCACCTGAATATCAATCCATGAACAACAGATTAACCATTTTATAGCCAAAGGAAGTTGTGTAACTTTTACAGCTAGGTGCAGGCAATGCTTTATCTTTTTGCTAGGTTTGGAAAAATGAATGGAAACAAGCCATGAGCAGCAGAACATCATCTCTAACTAGATTAAAAAGTTTTACTTTTACCGTAGTCAAGGATGTCCAGAAACAATGGCGTGGTTTACATGTCACGATGAGTCAGGGTTCCTTTGGAACACTGTTCTCAAAAGCATGCTGTTGCATGTTGCCCGATGGAGAACAAGATGGAGGTGCTTCCTGTCAGTTGGAAGACAGATCACCAAATATGGATTCAGCCTATGCTGGATTGGGTTACACCTCCCTTGAAAACTCAGGTTCACAGGTAAGTATGCTCCTGAATTCTTCCTTGAGCTTGGCTTCCCAGATCTTGGCAGTTGCCAGGGGTGTACTGGCACAGTTAAAATGTGAGCACCAGCTACATCCATTCATTGAGAAGTCCCATCTGGACAAGGTGACACACACCTCAGTTACATTCATTCTGGATTACTGTAATGGCCTCTCTGTGGGGCTACTTTTGGAAACTTCAAAGCATCCAGGATGTGGCAGATAAGACTCCTCACCACATTTCATCACAGGGAGAACAGAAATTCCTTGTTACGAAAGCTTCACTGGCTACTGGTTTCATTTCCAGGCATAATTCAAAGTGCTCTGTTTGACTTATAAAGTGCTAAATGACTTGGATCCAGGCTACCTCAAAGACTGGGCATCCCGCATTAGCCTGCCTGGGTTTTAAGACATTTGAGGGAAGTCCTTCCCGCTGGAATGCTTGACGCAGATGCTCCTACGCTGTGGAACTCCCTGCCCTCCGTCTGTCAGAAACTCAAGACATTTCTTTTAAGGCAGACTGTTCATATGGAAACTGCTGCTTAGGAAAGGGTGTTAAGCGTGGGTGGGTCTTTTTGTCATTGAAATGGGCTTTTAAATTGTTTTCAAACTTTTGTGTAGCACCTGTTAATAATTAATATGCTTAATTACAAGGCCCATGGTGCAATGGTTAGGCTGCAGTACTCCAGCCAAGCCTATATTCATGACCTGCGTTTGATCCTGATGGGTACAGGCAGCCAGATGAAAACCGAGTCAGACTTCCATCTTTCCAAGGTCGGTAGACTCGCTTGGGGGGGGGGGGTTAGGGGCTTGAATAATGATGTTCTAAAACTGCCCAGAGAATGCCTTAAGCACTATAGGGTGGCATATAAGTTGAAACAATAAATAAATATATAAGTATTAGTCATTTAACTTCTTTAGTGTTTGAGTTTTTAAATCATTCATACACTGCCTTGGGTCCTCCTACAGGAAGAAAGGGACTGTAGAAATAAAATAACATTTTCTCATTTAGTGCTTTTCAGCTACATGAGAAACACACTCTTAATTTAGGCTTCCCACTAAGAGAACAACACCTCTTGATTTTCCTTTCTCCCACCTGCAAGAAACATGCGTAACTTGTTTTGTTCAGTAAAAGGGTAATTTAATTGGTTTCAAACAGTGCAGAAAGGAATAAGAAAAAGCTTCTCCTGGAAGCGCTGTTTCCTCAGAACGAAAAGGTTGCTCACATTAGGGCAGTAGCTGGATGTGTATTATAGGGGCAGCCGAGGGGAAAAACCTCTTCTGTTTGAACATGTCAATTCTCTTTAACAGGAAAGAGACACACCCACTAAAACCATAGAGCAGACTAATTCAATTATACAAAAAAAATTCATAATAGCTTAAATAACAATTATCCCATTAATGAAGCAGAATATAAAGGGACAATATTAAGAAATCAGACATTACAAGTGATTCACTGTGAAACATGGGGATACAAAAACGAAATATCCAGTTCTGACAAGACATAACTTTTATGGCATAGGGAAGGGCTCTTGACTTTGGGAAATAATTAATATACTAAGAGACACTTTGCTTGAAACTAAACACTGAATATGTGACTGACTGGTTGCTACTTCTCCAATGTGGCAGAGATGTTTCTAAGGTGTGCAACAAAACTAGTTCTACACTCAGTCCCTTAAGGGATTCTACAAAAGTGTACATGGGACCAAATTCCTGGTTTTTGGTCAATACGGCTTGGAATTTCACAATGGTCAACAGAAGCCTCAGTCCTTAAATATCATTGTTAAAAAAAGGGCTCAATGGTCTCTACAAGTCATGATGATTCAACGATGGGCCATGGTCAACAACTAAGAAGCAGACAGCTACAGTTCCAGTTTGGATGAGTATGTTTCTCATTGTGCACACACAATAATAGGGAAATAATTTCTACAAACCAGAATCAGGATATAGGCAAACATCATTAATATCATGCTCCGGTTCCATGGAAGTAAATATTTTCCCCTGAAACAGAAAAATAGGTACAAGAAAGACGTAAATGTTCACTCTTAAGGAAACGCACACTACAAACAACAATCAACCAACCAACCAACAATACTGCTATAAGTCCGTGTATTATTATTTTGTTACCTTCTACTTGATCAATCAGAGGCACCTTATTAGCTAAACAATTTTCCTCCAATCAATTAACTGATTCATCAACCCAAAGTTGTAGCCCTGCTCTATTCTATAGCCTGTCTTCTGACCTGTAAAAGAGATTCTCAAGTTGGGCAGCATGACATTACAAAACAGACAATCGTTATACAGGGCCAACTAAGCATGCATACAAGTCTTGACTCCTTCTCATTGTTGCCTCCTTTTATTAAATCAATTTTCATGTCAAGTGTGTGTGTCATTCCCCAAGCACTAAGGGGTTTGTGAGAACAGTCACGGCCCATCCTAAATTTCACTTCCTACATGACTTATACTGAGGAGGGCTTAACTGCAGGACAGAAAAACTGCATGCAAATAAAACATTTGGAAATAATTTGTTCCAGGCACCTGGAAAAAGAAATGTGGGAGGAATGTGGGAACAGGGGAGGCAAGATAAGGAAAAGAATGGTGTTTGTGGGGGTGTGCAGGGGTATGGCTTGGAAAAAAACAGAAGCAGAAGGCAAGAACTGGAGAGCCTTCCCTGCATCTCACAACAAGTGAATTCACATCCATTTCCAGCCTACTGCAGTTATTAAGAATTTTTAAGTGTTCCTTGAAATGAAAGGCACTGTTATAGAGGACAACGTATGGACATTGCTCAGTTGGATATTTTCTGAACAGCAAAGCTGCTGAGGAGTAAAGTCTGTGTACTATAAAATGTGTATTATGGTCATAAGCACATACGAAATCAGATGGTTATATTTCACCATAGGCACAGTCCAGTTTGTTAGAAATCCTCCTACATCCCATTGGTTTCAGCGGGAGAGTCAAATGTCTCAAAAGTTCTTCCCCAGTCTTCAACACTGTCAGCTGAGTCATACTCAGCCTTATTTACTATCTAGTCCGTCATCTACAATGCTGTCTAAAACTGATCTTCCAGTTCCTAATAGGGCTTAAAAAGTCATTTCAGTTCATAAGCTAACATGTTCGGGCACACAGCGTTCAACACAATGCAGCTGTCTGCAGCAGGCTCCCCTTTTATTTTATACAAGCTGGGTGAGCCCACACAATTGGTCTCTGGCAATTTGCCACTCTAGTCATTTGGCCAGAAACCTGAAATATGTGAGCTCTATATAGGCTTTATCCCCTCATTATATAGGATATCAGAGTAGACTTCCATTTCAGGTACTTCTCCTAAGATGTAAAATGAGACATTATATTTTTAATGACTTGCAATATACTGCACTTTAAGAGGTTCTATAAAAATGATCCAGTTGCAAATAATTCAGAGCTGACAATTTTAAGTCAATTGCTGTCATGATCTGACAAGGATGTTTTTAAAAGTATACCGCAGAAAACGCTGTCCTACAAATTATGGAGGGAATCCACAAACTCATGCTATAACATATTCTGGAAGGCTTTCATGGCCGGGATCTGATGGTTGTTGTAGGTTTTTCAGGCTCTTTGGCCGTGTTCTGAAGGTTTTTCTTCCTAACGTTTTGCCAGTCTCTGTGGCTGGCATCTTCAGAGGATAGGAGTATACCAGATACCTTGCAGTTGTGGCCAGGTATATACTGGGACCACAAAACGCAGTATCCACACCAGAATCAAAGAACATGAGAAACACTGCAGACTAAAACAACCGGAAAAATCGGCAGCAGCTGAAGATTCCTTGAAACAAGCTGGACATGAAATTCTATTTCAAAACCCAGAAGCACTGGACGACACCAGCAATCATTATGTTAGACTACACGTGCCTGGAGCTATGGAAATGTTTTAGCAAACAGTTGGAAGATTCCCGTATGTGAGCAACTAACGTTTAATTGCAAGAGAAGCATCATGAATTTCATGCACAGCCTTTTCCCTTCGGTAAGGGATGGGCCACTTGCCACTCTCAAGGCATACCCTACTGGTACCCTGTTTTCCCAAAAATAAGACAGGGTCTTCATATTAATTTTTGCTCCAAAAAACGCATTGGGGCTTATTTTCAGGTGATTTTTTTTGCCATGTACAACCATCTACATTTATGCAAATGCAGTCATGTCATCTTCTTCTAGTTGCTGCACAAGGGTGGAAGGTGGGGTTTCACTTAACTGGGGTTTATTTTTGGGGTAGGGCTTATATTACGAGCATCCTGAAAAATCATACCAGGGCTTATTTTCAGGATAGGTCTTATTTTAGGGGAAACAGCCTGATCTCCTGTGGCCCTTGGCTCACTTCCAAAGCCATCGGCAAGTGATTGGTTGAGGTCCCACTGCAAGAGGGACCTGGCCCTTCCTCAGCAACCAACTTGGGAAGGGTGGGAGAGAGGATGCAATTAATGAGAAAGAACTGGATGGCAGAAAGGGTGGTAGGGAGAGATGAAGAGAAATGGGGGCTGTCTGCTTTTATCTTTGCCCCCCCCTTGTTATCTTCCACCCTATCTACCAACAGCACGCTATCTCCAAAATGCCACCCCTAAACCAAAGCTGCCTTTATCAGAAAAACAGGGAGGAAAGGTTGCCTACTCCTGCTTTAGCAAGAGCAGAAGAGAAGCCCCCCCACCCCCGAATGGTCAGACTTTTGCCAAGCCAGGAGTCTTTCATCCCCCTTCCTGGAAGAGAACCTGATCAGGCTTTCAATGTGGTACGGAGGCCTTTTCATGAAAGGATCATAATGGGTTTTCTTTCCCCTTCCCTGGGAAGCATATGGCTTTCCCATTCCACGGTTAACATTTTCCACAAATCTCTCTCCAGAGAAATCGCTCCAAAGGATTCATGTAAAGGAAAAAGATGTTTGGTCAGAACTGGCTCTAATTTAGCAACACGCGCCCACTGCAGGGAAGAGAGAAGAGGGAAACTTGCAGCTTTGAAGGGAGAGCAACATGTGGCCTATCTCACTTTCTTTGGGTCCTGCCCCGCCACATCTCCTCGTTTCCTCCTTTCCTCTAATTCCACAGCGACAATGCTTTCCCACACAGAGGCCGAAATGCTAAGTTACACATGCTGCGGCATACACAGGATGCGTCTGTCACGTGCGGAAAGAGGAGCAGGAAGGCCCACGGACCTGATTTTGACACGGAATCAGATCTACCTTCTGGCTCACAAGAGAGGAAGGAAAAGCCAGAGCTTGAGAACAAATGCTAGATAGTTGAGTGGTTAAGGTCTCTGGCTGAAGATTGGCACATCGAACACTGGCAGTTTGATTCCCCACGGCGCCTCCTTGAGAGGGGCTGGACTCGATGACCCACAGGGTCCCTTCCAGCTCTAATGAGGAAACTTACTTCTGTGAACTACAACATCGGAAATACTCACATTAGTGTGGTATTTTTCCAAGCTATGAAAGCCATACCTGGGTCAGGAGGATAGTGGCAATGGTGTACTGTCTGAAAAGATGGCAGTGTGATTCCCCACGGCGCCTCCTTGAGAGAGGCTGGACTCGATGACCCACAGGGTCCCTTCCAGCTCTAATGAGGAAACTTACTTCTGTGAACTACAACATCGGAAATACTCACATTAGTGTGGTATTTTTCCAAGCTATGAAAGCCATACCTGGGTCAGGAGGATAGTGGCAATGGTGTACTGTCTGAAAAGAACCCCTGAAGAGCCTGAACCTGTTTCTTACCAAATGCAGGATGATTTTGCTAATTAAGACCCTCATGGAGCAGTGGTTAAACTGCAATACTGCAGTCAAAACTCTGGTTCCATCCCAGGTAGCCGGCTCAGGGTTGACCTAGCTTTCCAGCCTTCCAAGGTTGGTAAACTGAGTACCCAGCTCATTCGGGGGCAGGCAAGGACAATGTGTGGCCTGCATAATTAAATTGTAAACCACCCAGAGAGTGCTTTTAGCGATATGGGATGGTATATAAAAAGTAAATTAAAAGGCACAGACAGCTGGATCTTATAACCACAAACTTGATTTAAAAAAAGAAAAGAAATGTTGTTTGCCTACCAGAACCTCCCTATTTTTCATTTGCTTTTTCCCCCACCTTCGCTGTCCTCCTGGGTGCTTCCTTTCCCTCCTGATTTAATTTTGCAGCCTCACCTGCCTCTGATATTTTCCCAAATAATTAACAGGAGGAAGGGTTTTCCCCCACCTCCGCTCTTTGAAAACAAAGACCTGGAAGCTCCCCAGGCCATGCCCAACGATTCAAGCATCCAAGGCACATTTTGCTTCCACACTCTTTTCCTCTTTTTTTCCACTCCCTGGCAGCCAGAGATAGTTAAGCACCAGCATCGGAAAAGGAGAGGCCAGTGGGAACTGAAAGAAACCATCATATGCCTTGCAGCACAGAATCTCCTGACACGCCACTTCATCTGCCACTTCCAACTTTTGCCAGAAGTGAAATGTACAAGACATGAGAGAAGAAATATATTTTCTTTTGTTATCTAGGACATGGTGAGATGGAAAGCAGATGCTACTGGTGGACCTCAAGTCATCAGAGGTTTCTGCTTCTAACAGAGCACGAAGGGGTTGTGCACAGATTCTCACTCCCACGCACCAAAGCTCTCCCAGTTTGGGAGAATCCCTTTCCCACACTGTTTAGCTTCTTCAGGAGGGTTCCCTGACCCTCCATTTTGAATTTTCAAGGGTCGTAAGATGTGTGCTACTATTAAACCAGTTGCTTCTACCTAAGTTGGATCATACTCAATAGCAATACCACCATGAAGAAAAGCCTGTGATAAGGATGGACAAGAAAACCAGGAGTGGATTTTTGCATGGAAGGACTGTAAGCTGCACTCTGGCACTCAGAATAAATTCCCGGGCCTACACGTCCTGAACTCTAAGTGTCTATGCCTTTTGCACCAGGCTCCGATTAGCAACCTAAGGTTCAAGTGAAGGAGATCACCTAAACCTGAGGCCAGCTTTCTCCTACCACATGATGGGCAAAATCCAGAAATAGGTGCACATAAAGCATGTATGTAAAACCCATTTAACTATGAACTAGATTGTGACTTTCTGGTCTCTGATCCCCATAAAATTACAATCAAATGATACCTGTTGGGAGGAGGCATCCAAGTGACAAAAGATAATAAGGAAAGGAAACAAGAAGTGACTGCAACTGTACTAATAACATGAAAAGTGATTTGGCCCAGATACTGATTGCTGTAGGATTGCAAAGATATCCTTTTTACATTCCCTTCTTGTATGCTTACTCACATAAAAACCTTGAAGAATTTTTACTCAACTTAAAAGAAAACAACAACCCAAGAATAATCTATTCATTTATGACCTATGAAAGGAGAAGGGCAATTTTAAAAAGACAGAAATAACAGTATTAAAATATACATTCTCTTTAGATAGAGTAGAATGTTCAGAGCAAAACACAATAACCATCATTCAGATACATTATAATAATGTTAATAATCTTAGAACTGCAGAGCTGGAAGGAATCCTATGGATCATCAATTCCAGCCCCTGCCAAGGAAGGCACAGTGGGGGAATATGGACCATCAATTCCGGCCCCTGCCAAGGAAGGCACAGTGGGGGAATTGAACTCCCAACCTCTGGCTCCAGAGCCAGAGACCTCAGCCATGGAGCTATCTATCCAGCAGTCATTACGAAACTACGATGCTCAATAGAAAGAGAAAAATCAGCATCAGACTTACTGTATCCTTGTTCCACATTTTTATGATTCGCGAATCAGATGAAATAATTAAGTCTAAGCAACCGTGGAACTGTATTGATTTAATAGGTAGACCATACTGATGGTCCTTCACTATTAGTGGCTGATTTGATCGAAGATCATAAAGCAAGACCTGTTAACAAAAAAAACGGTTAATTAGATTTTGTATTAAACAGTCAGTTGTGTAAAGGTCATCTCAAGCAGGTCGAAAAGAATCAAACAAATAAAGAATTTTATCTCATCTTACTGAAAGAGAGTGTATTAACCAGGATTTTTTTTTGTCAGCATGCATTTCATTATTAAGCTACAAGAGATGCATAGCTGAGAGCAAATCAGCAAAAGGGTGCGAAGAACTTATTTAACACAACTCATCTCTGTATTCTTCTTTTAACAGAAGCAAGGAGAGGCCTGCAAAATCTTCATTCTATCAAAGGTTGACAAATTCCCAGCTTGCATATTCAGTGACTACAATGAAAGTTACTTTTATCAGGTTGTCCTCTGTTACATAGCATCATCTGGCAAACCAGCCCTGTGCTTATGCAATATGATTACATGCAGTAAGGAAAACTCTATTGCGTAGTTACACTCACAAAAGGCAAATCACAAAAGTGTCAGTAGCTTATTGCAACTAATTAACAAATCACAGCTTAGATTTTCAAGTCCAGTGGCTTGCTGTATGCCCAAAAATCTGAGTGGGGTCTTTTTAATGGCAAGCAAGAAGCCACTGTGATTCATTTGCCTTCCACAGGTGTAACTACTCAGTAAGATTTTGGCTGATAATTGCTTTAAAAAAAACAGTCAAAGATTGAAAGGAAATAAAGCCAAAAGCTTTTGCTTGCACAATAAGCATCCATAACATTCATTTCTCTTTATGGTGAACTAATGCAACAAAAATACCTAAGAAGCAATACTCAATAGTCAAGATTCCAAATGCAATGATCAATTGATTCCCTGAAAAGCAATGGAACATGAAACACAGTCTTCGCCACTCCACATTCACATTAACAGGTTTACTTAATCTAGCTCTTGCTGCTATTATTCATTGTGGCCATCGTACACAAGGTGAGCAGCAAGCCCACTGACAGCATAGCTACCTGGCCAGTAGATGTTCCAACAGCCATATTCAAAGTTCCATCAAACTTTAAGGCTGAAATAGATGGCAGACCATCTACCCTGAAACAAATTAAAAACATTTTACATCAGTGAAAAGTATCTATCCAAATATCTTAACCATCATTGCCCATGCTCACCACCAACTGCAACCTGCATTAGAAAGGTGGCAAATTAAACTGAGAAGCTGCAGCAATTAGAAATTTTGCATCAAGAATGTTTGTTTATTTATTTATTTTGCATAGTACCTATTAGTAGAACAGCACTGTTCTGGGCAGTTTACAATGAAGAATGCAACAGAACAAACAAACAAAATGGAATACTATAATAGAACCATAAAATAAGAGACAAGCGAAATGAGAACAACATTAAATTTATATAAGTTAGAGATGTTTTGAAAAAGAAAAGAACATATATTTTCCATACTCTTTATCAGCTGTCACACTGCTCAAAGCGCAATCCAACATGCCAACCCGATTTCTTGTTCTAGGATCCCAGCATTCCACCTTCCCCTTAGGAGAACAAAGAAAATATGTATTCAGCATCTCAGGCCATTTAGAACATTTCACCTCTTCACTGTGTTTCAATTAAACAGCTGGCATACCAGGATGTTTCAGATCAAGTGCTATTCTTTCAATATCCTGCAGAATATATAAAAGTGATCTGGGCATCTGCACTGAACAACTCTTGATCATCTTGATCTTGATGACTACGCTTAGGAATGCAAATACTGTGTCTATACAGAAGGGGAGAAATTCAACAGTTGTGGCTAAAGACTCTGCCCTCTTCATTGAAACAACTGAGCTACATGCTAAAACTGACAAAGTCTGCAGCTGGATCCCTGCATTAAGAATAGGAAATGGGGAAAACATGCCCTTCCCACCAGCATAAACCTTGATCACAACATGGTCCAACTCCACATCTACTTCTCTGGTGCATCTTTGCCACTCTCTTTTGTAAAGGTCAAGATACAAAGAAATTATTTCAATGCCCTCCCTACTTTGAGCACAAGCATTAAGGCAGAACACTTTGATGCAAGGAAGAGTGGGTTAAAGGGAATAAATCACTAGGCAGCCGATGCTGCTGCGCCTTCGAATATTGCTCCACTTCGCAAGATGTCACTGTTGTTATTATGCGCCTTTAGGTTGCCTCCAATTTATGGCACCCTATAAAGGAGCCACCTCCAAAATGTCCTGTCTTCAACAGCTCTGCTCTGCTCAGCTTTTGCAAATTCAAGCCTGTGACTTCTCTTTTGGGGAGACAGTCCATCTTATATCTGGTTTGTCTCTTACATTTTTCAATTACAGCTCTCAGATTGTCCCAGCTGGCAAGGGCACTGTCAACAGTGCAGGATATAAATGCATCACAATTTGTCTGAAACAGGTTTATTTTCCTGTTTTCTTCATCATTGCAACAGCTGCCCACACTTTCATTTG